AGAGATAAAGAAAAAGAAAGGGTGAAGGAAGAGTGTAGACATTAGATAGGGGAGTGAGACAGAAACCCTGCAGACAGACAGAAAGGGAGAGAGAAACAGCAAGAGAGCTGAAAGCAAGGGGAGGGGAAGATGGCACTGCGGAAAAGAGTGCCACAAAATTAATTTGAGGAAGGGAACAGTAGAGGCGACTACAGTAGAATAACAATCAGGCAGTGGAGGGCTGGGGAGAGGGGGAGGGCACCGGTGGGAAGGTGCTGGGGAGGAGGGCCTGCTGGCCCAATGACAGCAGCACCACCTATGGGCAGGCAAAGGGCTACAGAGGCAACAAAAGCCGCCCCCACCTGGGCACGGGAGTCTGGGGGGCAAGGCGGGAAGAAGCCATGGCTTCTGCCCTTCAAACTTCTCTCAGTCCCATAACACGCAGGCTAGAAGAATAAATTTTATATGGCTCTCCCGGGAAAAGAGGGACTTAACAAGGTAAGGGAGGGAGGACAGAGAACTCCTGGCCTTTTCCATTCCAAGGGGGTTTCCCCCTCAGCATTCAGGAAGTAGAAAAGAAACGGGTATGAAAGGAGAGGATTGCCAGGTGCTGACAGGACCAACTGCACCTGCTTCTTCTTTCGGTAGCTGAAAAAAGGATTTTATCTTTATTTCCAAGTGATTTCCTTTCTCCACTGGATACTGGAGTACAGCTCCCTCCCTGGGGCAGTGGATGCTCCTCACTCAGCTGCTTTCTCCCAGCAATGCCTTGAAACTCCCAACCATCATCAGAAACCCTCAGGGAGCCACCAAGCTCGGTGATGGAAAGGGAAGGGTCCCCTCACCAGTCAAGCAGACCTGGGAAGGGGATAGGGTGTTAGGAAAGAGAATGCAAAAGCTCTGCAGAGGGAGGGGAGAGGGGAAATGTGATCGGGTGATACTTGTGCTTCCAGAGGAAGGATATGTCATATTTTTAATAATAATAAATACGTGAAGACAGCTTTGCCAGCACTGCTCTGGCTCCTTGGGTAGTTGGGGGGAGGGGACCCATGCAGCTGCAGAGCAGACCAGTCTCTCCCCTCCCCCATTAGGCAGGCTAAGGATCGCAGCAGCCACCCCTCCCCTGAAACTGCAGTAGCCACCCCTCCCCTGAAACTGCAGTCCTCCCCCCAACAGCCCACCCTCTAGCGGTCCCTTCACAGAGCTCAGCCCCTCTCCTCTCTCCCTCTCCACTTTCCCCAACCCTACATCACATGCTTTCAGCTCTTATGTTCCTGTAACACAATCTCACTCCAGCTCTCAGAAACCCTGGTACCCACATAGTACTCGCCAGTCCTGAGGCCCAGCTCTTTCCTGGCGGTGCCCTTCACAGCTGACAGTAATCACCCCATACCACATCCCACAGAAATAATCCAGTACATTTCAGCATTTCCTGAATTCCATCAAAAAGGATTGCTTTTTCCCCCATTTTTATTTCAATGTGACCTCCTTTCTCACAACCTTAAATATAATGGCCATCAAATGTGTTTGTGTGTTCAGGGGGTGTCTGGGCCTCAGGACTAGGGGACTAGTGCCACCTATTGACCCAAATTTGTTCAAGATAGACCTTTAATATACTTCTTACACAGCAATGCTCTGTTATTTCAAAAGCATCAATAGCTTAAACATGCAAAGGCATGGCTCTTGGGGCTTCTCGGAGACCCTCTGAACAATGAGATCAAAGAAATACAAGAGCAAGACTGGGCACAGAGCCAGAGCAATGATGCCTTTCTCCACGCAGAGGCAGAAAAAGAGGCTGAGCCCAAGGAATGAAAAAGGAACCTAAGGTTTTATAAGCAAAGAAGAGCAGGGGACAGTTTTTCTCAAGGGCTATAAAAAACCTTATGCATCACAATATGAATGATATTATCAATAGAGCAGAAGGGAGGATTTCACTGGTGCTTCTGCCAAGTTGGCCAAATCCTTGAATAAGTATAAACATGAATCTGAGATTTATACATCAAATAGGTATCAGGGAGGAAGGGGACACTCAGGACTGCTGCTGACCCTCACTAATCCACTATGAAGTGGAGCTGGAGGCTGGACAGATTAACTAGGCTCTGCAAAATGGGTCTACACCACGCAGCTCTATAGATTGGTTTAGCCATGTACCTTCCCCAACCCAAGACAAGAAAAAGCTCGAGCTTTCCATGGTGCTGAAAACAGACACAATCAGATCATTCTTTCCTCACAAAAAAAATTTTTTTTTATCTAGTAAGATATCCAGGAAGATGGTGTGAACTCCTGACAGGCATTTCCCCAAGCCTTCATAAAAATCATAAGAAAAAGCTTTAGAGACAACAACAGGCCTTGGTCAAACCCTCTTCCCCACTTCCTCGGATGAAAATCCAAGGCAGAGATGCTAAATTACTTGTTAAGAAAAAAGCCAAGACTGTCTTTAGTCACATGATAAAACTGAACAGGTGCTCATGTGAACTAATGATAGACATTATTTAGTGAACACTGGAGATGATCTGTTGTTAACACTGCACTGAGGAAATCGGACTTTCATGGGGTCCTCGTGATCAGAGAACTGAATTTATGAGTGGGAGTAAGAGAAAGAAGAAAAGTGAACAACAGCCATAAAGAAACCCTGAATTTCTTAGTTCCCTTGTAGCTCCTCAGAATTCTTGGGTAAAGCAGGCCCTGAGAAAATGGAGCTCCAGAACACTACATCCCCACTTTAACTAAAGTAACACTGATGCCTGTTTTATACACTGAGAATCCACATAAAACTTTGTCAACAATGTATTCTGAACATTCTTTGATGACTCTGGTGCAAACACCCTCACAAAGTATTCAACTTTTTGTTGGAGATCTCTTTCAAATAATGCCTGTCATCTAGGAGCTTAAGGATAGCAAGATGTCCTGCAAATTAAAGACTGGAATGAATTAATGTAAGATATCCACAAAGGAAGGGATTTTTGTCTGTTCAGTTCAGTGCTATACTGCCAAGAGGGCAGAATACTGTCTAGAACTTGTGGTTTCTTTGAAGGCAGGATCTTGAATAGAAATGGGGCAGTAGGGAGCGGGGAGCTAGAGGTCACAAACTTAGAACATACATATTTTTGGAGGAAAAAAACCCAGACTTTCATTAACCCTAGGACCCTGAAGGGCCTCCACACTCTGTGTTCCACAAGAACTGGTTCTTTAATGTAGAGGTGATGTAACCTTGGGCAAATTACTTAACCTAAGAGTCTCAGTTTCGCCACTAATTAAATAGACATGGCATGTATTTTATAAGGATTAGGTATAAAGCGCTTAACTCAGTATGTAACACAAGGTCAGACTTTTTTAAAAAGGTAATTCCTTTCCCTTGGCAGCTACTATAATCCAAAAATCTTAATTAGAAGCAAATGCAATAGTTAATCCTAAGAAGCAAATGTGGTGGTTCTACCTAAGGCTTTTTTAAAACTAAAATTCCTGTCTAGTTAGTTCAGCCAGAAAGGGAAAAGAATCTTAAAAACCTATTTTTGTGACTCTTTGTTTATCCATTCAAAGAAATAGAAGTATGAGGGCCCTGGGTACATTAGGCTCCCTCTGGTCTGCCAGGGAATAAAAGTTAGAGGCCCCAGAAGCTCTTCTTGGTGGCATCCATGAGAAAAAGCTCTAGGCTCTTTGGTTTGGAGGAAGACTCAGAGAATCAGTCTAACACATTCAGTTTTCCACTGAGGAAAATTAAAGGCTAGGGATGTTAAGCGATTTGTCCAAAATCACAGAGTTAACAGAGAACAGAACTACATTGTCGCCTCTTTGTACAAGGCTGCAGCTGACTGACAACAGACTCTGCCCCAGTTGGGCATACCAGTATAAATCGATTCACAGGGCTTAGAATCAACAATGTTTAGGGATGTACTGACCCGAATCGTATCCCTTTCCATGGCACTTTCCAGGAATGCCAGACATTAAAGTTAGGTGTTTGTGAGACCCCCAAGCCCTTACAAAACCCCAGGGAATTCATTCTAGACTCAACTTCTGTCTCTTTCCATTCTTCTCTCCACTTTCTGTATAATCCAGGGCCTAAGGGATCTCCCACCAACTGAGGTAATTCTCCAGAGGACAAGGTTTCCTGAGCTGCTAATGCCACCTGGTGGCCAGCAAGACACATTAATAAAACTACTTGTATATTCCAACAAATCATACAGGAACCTGGGGCAACGTGGGTACTATGGTAATCTCTTAATTTTTCCTGTTAAATAACCAATTTCTAGTTTCTGAGGAAAATATATTACCGAAAAAACAAAAACAAAAAATATATATAAAACCCAACTTTTCTCACTCTCCCCCCAAAATTTCATCTTTCCCTTTTCATTATCCTCTCACCAAAAATACCTCATACCCAATGATGCCAGTCGTACAATACATGTGCAAAAGGGGCTTTAATTCGTAGGTAAAACCAATTTTATTAATAGAGATCTTTCCACATGTCCAGAGCAAACAATTAATGAATTCCAAGGAAAAAACCTACAGTGAAATGAGAATCCCAGGATGACAAAAAATGATATATAAGTACACCCATAATCACCGCCGCCTCCGAAAACCTGAAAGGAAGGGAAACCAAGAATGAGGCAAAGGATAGTCGGAAAAACTGAAGTGACAGATAAAAAAGGCATCTAGAGAAAAGGGCTCCAGAGGGCTGTATCTCCTCTATATCCTCCCAGGACAAATGACTACAGTAGGAATGAAATTGAAACAGGATAATGGTTCCTTTAAGTGACACTTTTACAGTTCCATTTAAGGAGGCCTGGGCAGGAACTGTGGGACCTTGGAGACAGAATCCAGTTGCTGCTCTGTGAATCATGCTGATTTTCAGCTTGGGAAAGAAAAGAAGTAAAAGCTCACCTCTAAAAAGCTTGATACTTAGTATGGAAGAGATAATATAGGAGCTGGTAAGACCACGGATGGCAAATCTAGACAGCTGGCATCCCAATTCATACTCCCCACCCCGCACTGGACCACCAAAGCCTAAGCCATTCACTGACCTTTCTTCTTCCGACCTTTCTTAGGTATCTTCTTGCGCTTCTTAATAGGATTCTGATCCTGGAGACAGATGGAGTAGTGAAGGAATAGCACTGCACTTCCAAGTGTCAGTACCCCTCCCCAAGCTCCTCAGGGTCATAAGCCCCACATACATTTGCATGAAAGCAAGGTTACTCCCCACCACCCTCACCTCCTCAGGATGAGGGGTTCCTCCTGTCAAAGCACTGATGTCACTGAAATGCGTGAGTGAATGAAGCTGTGAGCTCATGACATTTGCTCGTTTTCGCCGTCCTTTTTCTCGCTTACTGACACTTAAGCGCACCATCATGCTCTCCTCATAGTTAATCCTGCCAGAGAAACACAGACTATTTCCAGCATGCTCAGTCCCAAGAGACAGAAAGCTGCAGCCAAGAATCAGGGTCCAGGTATTTACTCACCCCTTGCTCAGATAGTTCTCAAGACATTTCATAGCAGGTCAGTATAGAAAGTAGAAAGGACATACTGACGCTCAAAACTGAGCTTCCTCGATGAAATGGTTCTTTGTGCTAGAACTTCTCTCTTCCTTCAAGATGAACTCACAGCCCATCCACAGGAGCATTTAAACTACTGTATCAGAAAACTCTTATATTTCAGCACCATAAACAGGATTCCCTATATGAGCCCTTTCACTCAAATCTATCAGCTACAGAGACAGCGACCTGTGCCAAGTTGAGTCTGTATTCAAGTTACCATTGCTTTTCCACTTTTCTTCCCTGAACTTACCTGGCAGTCTCCATGCCATTATAAAAACTTGCCTTTATTGCCTTTTGCACAGAAGTTAAGAGCTATAACAGTGAACAGAACTTTAAAGTGCTACTAGATGGAACTGCTTATGTTCCTCTTCATAAAGGATCTGCTCAGCCTCAATGGGTAAAAAAGAAAAATACATTTCCCCCTTAGTTTCTACTCTGTACTACAAGTCCCTAATTCTTAGAATCTGTCATCCAAGTTTTCTACTCCACTTTCTATATCATGTCCGTTCTCTTGGTATCAGACTTAGTCATGTTCATCCCAAGCATATGGACAATCTCTACAGCACAGAAAACAATTTCTAATTGCAAGGGATCAGACCTATGTTGGTCTTCTTGACTCTGGCGAGTGACATGAGGATGTCGAGCAGCCCGGATTTCCTCTGGTGCATCTGAGTACTGCTCCTTCAGTTCACGGATGACAGAGCTGCTCAGCGCTCGTCTCTTGGCCCGTTCTAGGCGCTTCTTCTCCCGCTCAGCTTCTGTTTCATCTATGTGATAAGAATCAGCAAGGGTTATCCCTCAACGGAAAAAAGAAGAGAAACACAATTCATGCAGAGGAGGCAGCAGTCACAGTTCATACCATAATGTACTGGAACCAAGCGTGGTGGAACATACTTCTTTACTGCTTTTAGAGATTTATTCCCTGAAGCCTCAGATTGGCCTTCCTCCGCTTCATCTTCCTCCTCATCCTCAGAGTTAAACTATAAAAGGAACATAATGTTTACAAACTTAGCAAGTGTCAGTCAGACAAGAGATAAAAAAGCCAAAGCTGTAGTGCTCTAGGGAGGCAGGACTATAAACAAATGGGAAAAAAGAGAATCTCATACTCGATATCCTAAGGCACAAGCTGGGGGTCTAAAGGAATGAGATTCCCAGGAGATCCAGGCTCATCCAAGTATAGATCCTTCAGAACAGTCAGGACAACATAGCTCCTTACCTTGCTCCTCATACTGCTAGGATGAGGCTTAAAACGAAGCGGGTCATTCTCACCTGAAATAAACAACCCAAGAGATTTCACAAGATTTGGAACTTTATGATGGTCCCCACACAACTCAATAGCTTCCCCCACTTACTGAGGCTGCCTGTCACTGCAGTCTTGACCAGTTTATCAATTTGATACTTCAGTTTTTGGTCCAACGGACGAAGCTTTTCCAAAACCTGTGACATGTAAATGGGATTACATTCCCTTCCCAACATTACGTATATACAAGAGTCCTGACAGTAAGCTGACACATAAAGCACCTAAAATATACAGAAGCAGAACAAATGAAGAGAAAAATACTTTTTTCATTTGGTGTCCTCACTTAAACATGAGAACACCCACTTATATGAGAGCTATTTTGTGAGTCCTAGAATTCATGATTTGGAAACCTAGAACTCTAAGATGCCAAATGCTTCAAACCGTGCGAATCTCCACCAGTCTCAAAATGGCAGTGTGTCCCTGTAGAGACCCTCCTGAGGCTTTGTCCAGGATGAGATGGCTCAGATCCATAAGGTACATGAGCAGCAGCTGGTCTTTCACTTCCAAGAGGCTGAGACCCTGAGTTGAACAAAACAGTAAGGGATGCAAATTCTGTTTAAGCCAGAAAATCAGGAGAAGAGCCTAACACACACAGAATTTTTGCCAAGTTCAAGTTTTTCCCAGTCAGTTCATATACGGTATCTGGAGTTGTCTCAAGGAAGTGGCTGTAACCTAAAATGGCCACAGAGAAAAGAGCATATGCTATGACAACAGAAGCAAAGCTTAGAGAATTAATGGAAGACACTAAAAGCAAGAAAATAAATAAAGTATTCCCCAAAAAGACAACAGCAGAGTTTCTCAACCTTAGCACTAGTAACATTGGTAAACTATAAAACAGGTAATTCTTTGGAGCACTGTCCAGGTCCCAGATGTTCAGCAGCATCTCTATCTGTGGATGTCCCCTCGCCAGTGGTGATGATAAAAAAATGTCTCCATCCAGTGATGAATTTCAAATTAATTTAATTAAAACAATTACTGATTTTATCCCCATACAATCGAATTGTATGATACAGGTAAAAGCAATGATACATACTAACATGGACTTAATTCTAAATAGACTTTTCTATGGGAAAAGTATGTACAAAATGATTCCAACTGGGGGAACCGGGGGGATACAATACACAAATACTATACATACAGAAGAATATCTAGAAGATAACATACAATCAACAACTGCTACCCCTGGGGACCGAGATGAGGAAAAGGAAGAAATGGAGTGCTTGCACTGTGACAGTGTTTTGGAAAATATGGAATCAAACATATTATTACTTTTAAGAGAAATCTCTACAAATTATACCCTGATGGTTGTTTCAGAATGGTGATTACAGTGGTTTTTAATTTTCTTCTCTGTTTTTATGTATCTTCTAAATTTTCTAAAATTAAAAGTGTATTATATTTATGGGCAGAAAATCAAGCAAAGGTTATTTAAGTTTTTTCTTTTACATAGAAGAAAGTGTGAGCAGACCTGTTGCATTTATTAAATAAAAAAAGTTGCTGTGACTGCAAAAAATTAAACTGAAAAAGTCCACAGCCCTGGGAAGATCTATTTCAGAGAGGTTAAATACTCTGCCTAAGGTTACAGTTAGGATTCAGACTCAGTCTGACTCCAAAGACTCCAAAACCTAAGTCCTGGGTTATCTTTAAACCAATCTGCTAACCTTTTGAGATCAGCACTGGAGAGGTATAGGAGAATGAGTAAAGAATTTAAAGCCAGACAAATTAAGTTCTGAAATAGGTACTTGGCAGTCAATTACTAGGTAAGTTCATTTAACCTTATAACCCCAGTCTCATCTGTACTATGTACAGTGTTTCCTTCCTGTACCAAAAAGTAATTATGAGGCTCAACTAAGATAACACGCAAGCACTTTGGAACCTGTCAAGTACCTCATCCTTGTAAAAGTTTTTGGTCCTGAAAAATAAGTTAATAAGTATCTGCTCAATGAATAAACAAATATACAGTGATACACACCCACATACATATACACATGCTAGCAGCCCATCTTAAAAAGGCTTTCAAATGGATCAAAGCATGGTACCCAGAATAAAGAAAGACAATAATTTGAGGAGTAGGCTCTTCTGACACATGTGGGCATTGTTAACTTCAAATTGGGTTACAGACAAATGAGAGAAAAACAGAAGAAAGGAAAAGCAAAGATTAGAAAACTCAGAAAAAATAAAAATAGACAAGAACAAAACTGAATGATTAAAGGCAAAAGAATATATTAAAAATACTATTAGCTTTCTTTCTAAAGCACATATCTGCTGTAAATCCCATGTTTAAAAATCCTTCACTGTTTCTTACTGACCTACTACAGTGATTTTCATACTTTTGCTGACCTACGGAACATTTTGCTTAAATAACACCTTAAGACAAAATCAATATAAAAAAGGTGACACCAGAGGTTTCCAGTTAAGCAGGTATAAGGGATCTTTCCTTATCAGTCCCATACTCAATGAGCCCTGAAAAGGTTCTGTAAGACCTAAATTTGAAACTACCATTATTTCAACTTTAAGAAGCACAGCAATTTTATATTTTAACATCTTTGAAATCAGGTTGCATATTTTAACCATTGGTACTTTAGTATTATATCATAGGAAAAATCTAAGTATATGAAATATGTAGTATGTCTCCAATTAACAGCATCTTAGATTAGATGATATACAACTATAACTTCTCAGTTGGCCTACAAGGCTCTTCATAGACTGACTAGTTTTCCAGTCTTATTTTCTACCCCAGACACACACATTCAATGTACATCCAACCACACCAGATGACTTGCCTCCTTTCCCAGAACATCACCATGTGTTCAGGTCTATGTGCCTTTGTGCATGATGTTCCTTTAGGTCTCTCTGACTCCTGCTTATTCCTTATAATCCTGGCATCTCCTGGGAGAAACCTTCCCCGACTTTCTCTGTTCCTCCCACAAATATTTAATCTCTCTCTTCAGCTTGTACAGCACTCATCATGGCTCTGCAATGTGACTGCTACTAATTATGACATTGCTTTAAGCTGTCTTCACTAGACCTCAGCACAGAAACTGGATCTTATTCACCTTTGAAGCTCCAGCACTTAGGATATAGAAGGCACCTGATGTATCTATGATGAAAGAGCTGTTGAGAACACTGAGTCAGGGGATGCTTACTCTTCAAGTATGTCTTACCTTCTCTGTAGGATAAGCTCTAGCTTGAACTTTTTTTGTCAGAGCTTGCACTTGTGCAGTTACAGCCATCACCTGAAATTAGTCCAAATAAAACAACTAACTAGAATATGTCAAGTCATTGCTGTGAGCTGTGCAGGGAAAAAGCTAAACAATGCCAACTAAAAAAATCATCTGCAACACTGCTCAAAACACAGTACTCTCTCCTTTTCAGTTCTTGCAAAGTATAGGAGAGATGGTTTCTGATACTTCTTCAAAAGGTAGAAAAACTTCCCACCTCTTCTTAAAGCTAAAGAAACCATCTTACCAAACCTTGTGAAGGGAAAAGAACTGGAACGGTGGTGATGGGGGAACTGTACCCTTAACTATATATGGGCTGAATTTGCAATTCATAGAACTGCATAAATGTCTATTAGCTGGGCCCCAAATGGTAAATCATACAATCTTTCCCAGCATAGGTTTCCTTAGCTGTAAGATTCAAGTAAATTGATTCAGACGACTTCTTTTTAGAGTTTTTTGTGTTGCTCTGGACGCAGAAATCAATTACTTTGGATTCTACCCTGAAAAAGTTTTCATTAAGTCATTTTGCTCTTACGGTATTTGGTACCAATCAAATATGTTCCCCCAAATTACCAACGTTTGGAGGTGAAGCACACAGTCAGAACCAATCCATGACTAATCTATTGTCAAGGGGTGACTGCTCACCTGTTCCTGTAGGTTTTTCAGAAGTGTTACGGCACTTGTCAGGTCTGACTCCAGCACCTCCTATAGGAGGGAAAGGAATAAAGAAAAGCCAGTCTTTCCTCAGGATTATGGGAAGAGACGTCCCTGGCAGAAAACCCTCCTCTCTCCTTCACACACCCCAGATTTCCAGCCTTCCCAGTCCAGTGCACGTGCAGCCTCGTCTCACAGCTGGCCAGCCCTCCGGATTACATGCGGAACCTAAGTGCAGCCCCGTCTCCTTCCTGCCGCTTTTGCCCCGCTGTGCCAGGGAGGTTGTCTCCCTGAAGCTACTCATCACCACCCTTCCTTCGCGCCAATAATCTGCCTCGAGCCGCTGAAAGAAAAGGAAACTGCCACATTAGCAATTCGAAGAAGACGCGCGACACTCACCAGCGCCGCCATCTTCACAAAGCCCGCCCTTTCCGGGGCTGTTCTTTCCGAGAACTAATGTAGTCCAGAGACACTTGAGACCCTACCGCCGCCTGCAAACCTAAGCCACGAGGAGTAGGGGCTCCCTCACTTCCGCCCCAACAGGATGTTCTAGAGGAGGGGCCGGGTCCCGCCAATGGAGTAGAAGAACTGGCTAAATCCGTCAGATTTAGAAGATTAATGACGTAAAGATGCTCTTGGAAGGAAGCACGTGATTAGTGGATTGCGTAGAATGATTGAAACTAAACGAATAAAAACTAGGCAAATTATTGATTGACACTTAGAGAAGCCCAATGGAAAAAGGAGTGGACAGCGCGAACTGAACGCGTACTGACTCGTGGACGCCGCAGTAGCCCGAATGGTTCCCACAGTGCTTGCCTGGCGTGGCTGGAACCGGCCGCTAGGTGACGGGCCTCGGCTTCGCCGCGAGGTGACGAAGCGGCGAAGCCGCCGTTGCCGGCTGCTACTCCTGCGTGGGGCACGGCCGCGCGAAATGCATCACCGGTCCCACGGCCCTTGGATCCATTATGTGACAGTACTGTGTGGCCGTGGAGAAGTCACTAGGTCTCGGAGCTTTTATTCATCTGTAAACGAGAGGCCCAGAGAAGCCCAGGGCCAACGTGCAGAAACGGACAACCGATCCTAGCCCTCACTGTACGCACCCACCGGGGTGCGTTGCCGAAAGACCCTCAGGTGTCGTCCCAGAACTCCTTGGTCCTCCCACCTGGGGGACACGAAAGGGAGTACGTTGTGCAAATGAGAAAGCCAGTTCAGATTTAGTGACTTGCCCCCAGTCACACAGGTCTACGGCAGAACTTGTTTCAAATGCCACCTGTACATATTTCCTTATGCCCTGCCTCACCTTTCCTCTGTAAAGTATGTTAGCTTCACTCCTGCTTCAGGTTGGTAAGGTTGCATGGGTATCAACTGTTTGTTCCCTTATGAACATCATCTGCCTTAGGAAGTAAGCACTGCAGGGGCAGGTGGTCTTGAATTTTTCCCACAAATACAAGCCAATTTAGTACTAGAAATCAGATCGCCTGCCTTGCAGCTGTCTTCTGGAATTAAGGAAGGTATAACCCCTGTATGTTGCCAACCAGGGTGGAAAATAATGGTTTCTAAATCTTTTGCTGAGCTCAGGAAGTAGAAAGCAGGGGGTGCCCAGTCTCCATCCCTCTTTAACATTGGTTTGCTGCTGCCGGTTGTGAAGGATTAGATGGGACAATCTGTGGCCAGCTTATGAAGTGTCTTTAGATGCCAGCTAGAGGAGCCCAGGCTTAGTCTCACAGACAGAGGGAGCCCTGAAAGTATCTATGAATGACAGATATGTATGCAGTGGTACTTTAGAAAACTGAGTTTTCCAGCCACTGGTGGAATGAACAGCTGGAAGACTAGTGAAGGTGTTATTGCAATTATGCAGACATGCAAAGGAGCCTTACCTAGCAATTTTAAAGAGAATGGAAAAGAAGGGAGGAAGCAGGATATTTTGAAGATGGAATCTACAGAGTAATAGATACGCTGTTGGGTGCCTTTCTCCCAAATCCTTTTCCCTTTTTTATATCTAATCTCCAGCTTCTCTTCACAGTTCTCTTCATTCCCTACATGTGACTGCAAATCTAAAATCCCCTGTACAAATGAATCAAAAACTAAATTTCAGGTTTCCCAAGAATGACTAGTTATACAACCTATTCTGTAAAATCAGATTGTATTTCTTCCCATTCTTAAAACACATTAATGGCTGCTCTGTGTCTGTAAGTTAAAGTCCAAACCACCTCAGTTTGGTTCATATGGCTCTTCATGACCAACTCTCACCTGCCTCCCAGGCTCTTCTCTTGCTGTATTTCTCCTACTCCCACACTTTAGCCACAGTGAATTCATCTCAATTCCTCTCAGGCCTTACATGCAGGTGTCTTTGCTGAGCTTCTTCTTTTCATGACTTACTCTAGCTCATCTTTCAGTTCTTGTCTTATAAGTCCTTTCCAACAACAAATGTTGGTGAGGTTGTGGAGAAAGGGGAACCCTCCTACACTGCTGGTGGGAATGTCAAATAGTTCACCCATTGTGGAAAGCAGTATGGAGGTTCCTCAAAAAACTAAAAATAGAAATACCATTTGACCCAGGAATTCCACTCCTAGGAATTTACCTTAAGAATGCAGCAGCCTAGTTTGAAAAAGACAGATGCACCCCTATGTTTATCACAGCACTATTTACAATAGCCAAGTAATGGAAACAACCTAAGTGTCCATCAGTAGATGAATGGATAAAGAAGATGTAGTAAGTACACACAATGGAATATTATTCAGCCATAAGAAGAAAACAAATCCTACCATTTGCAACAGTATGGATGGAGCTAGAGGGTAATATGCTCAGTGAAATAAGCCAGGCAGAGAAAGACAAGTATCAAATGATTTCACTCATCTGTGAAGTATAAGAACAAAGAAAAACTGAAGGAACAAAATAGCAGCAGACTCACAGAACCCAAGAATGGACTAACAGTTACCAAAGGGAAAGGGACTGGGGAGGATGGGTAGGAAGGGAGGGATAAGGGGGGAAAAGGGGCATTATGATTAGCATGTATAATGTAGTGGTGGGGGGACATGGGGAAGGCAGTATAACACAGAGAAGACAAGTAGTGATTCTATAGCATCTTACTACGCTGATGGACCGTGACTGTAATGGGGTATGTGGTGGGGACTTGATAATGGAGGGAGTCTAGTAACCATAATGTCGTTCATGTAATTGTACATTAATGATAGCGAAATAAAAAAGTGCCATTAAAGCAAAATGTTACACCATGTATAATCCAGATTCAATTCTCTTAATAGAGTATTTTAGCATTTTATTATTATATAAAACTGTAGTCCCAAATACTTACTTATGAACCCCGACTAAATTCTCATTAGCTTACTTATAAGCCATGAAGACTTTGTTCCCACTGAGAGTTAAATCAAATCCTTGAATCAAACGGTTTTGTAAAAAAACCTACTATCTAAGGGAGATGTCACAAGTTCAGATTCTTATTCTTTTTGCTCCAGTAAAAATTTAATGTTAATTGTGATTAAAATAATCTTTTGTGTGAGGAAGGAAATACATATATACTGAAAATGTTTCTGTATATATTTATATATATCTTTTAAATGTTGTCTCTTTATTGTTTCAAATATTTACCTACTATTTCCCTCTTTCCTCTATTGTCAATTGATATGGTATTCGCCAGTAACAATAAAACATCATACATTTTTTAAAACTAAAAAAAATAATAAAAGTCCTTTTCTCCAGAGAGCCTTCCCTGATCCTCTGTCCAGATAGGTGTCCTTTTTTATGTTCCATGACTTCTTCCATCATAGCACCTGGTACCTCTTCTTTATTTGACTTAAAAACCTACACCCTTAGCTATTAAGATATGCTGTCCCCTTCCTTCAGCAGGAAACAGGGCCCCCAGCTTCCAGTCTGAGGCTCAAGGGGAAAATCTAATCACTATGAAGAAGATGGGAGCCAGAAAAACTAAGAGGGTCACCAAAACAGGGCCTCTGGCAGAGGGAACAAGCCCAGGGCTGAGTTACCAGACGGGGGCACAGGGTGGGGCCCAAGTCTTAGGAACAAGACGGAAGCTGAATTTCTAGAACTATGGCACAGCAGCAAGGATGACATGATGCTGAGACTCCAAGTGTGAGCAAGAGCTTGCTCTGTCCCTCCCTCCGGGGCCTGAAACGGGGCCAGAGCAGGGCCAGGACTGGCGTTGTGGGTGTGGCAGGCATAGGGGAGGAGAAAGAGGGTGCGGGGCTTGGAGCCAGGCCTCTCTGTGCACTCTCATCCTCAGGAGCACTAGCCCTGCCCAGAGAGGACGGGCCTTCCTAAGGGCTCACCCATGTCTTTGGGGGCTGTGCATCCCCTCCCTGCACCCTCCATTTCCATTTCCATTCTCTTGATTTCACGCCTTCTTCCCACATTGGTCCTCCACAGGCCTACTCCTTGTTTGACAGGCTCACAGGAGGGGTCCATATGTCAGGCCCTCCGCCTATTGACCTTGCTCTGTCAAGATCCACAATTGTCTTGCCTTTTCTTTCCTTTTTTCTGCCCTTTGACCGGACAGGGCATAGGGTGGGTCTATGGGAAGTGGCAGAAACCAGAGGTGCTAGTATTGACTCAGTCTAGGGTCTACAGTAGGTGTGGGGGGCCCAGGGGAGAAGCACAGAGCAAGATGAGAGCGGGGAATGGTATGTCACACGCTTCTGGGCTTATGCTTTTGCATTGGGAGTCCAGCCATCCCTGCTGCACCAGCTGTCAGCACAAGGGCTGCATCAGAATCATCAACTATATTTGGATCTTGGTCAGAACTTTTGATTGACTTTGGCTAAAGGCCACTTAAGGACCTTCACAGCAAAGGACAGGTACAAATCTAACCTAAAGGATATGTTACAAAGCTCAAAACAGAAATGCAAGTAAATTTCTAAACATGAAAAATGTGACATTGCAGAACTGGCCTTGCAAAAGAAATGATCAGATATCATTATATCAGTGTTACTGTTGTGAAAAAAAGTCGTTTTCCCGAACACCCAGACAGTAGCCTTTACTATATTAGGATAATTCCTGATGTCCCAAGAGCCTATCATGTGCCTCTGTCACTTCTGTCCCCAAGCAGAGTTTCTTCTCTCTGCCCAAGAGGAGGATGTCCAGGGGCAAGAAAGAGCTGAGGCAGAAAGGGGATATTTGTCAGCATCCTCTTATCGGAAGCTATCCATTCTTCTCTCTGCCCAAGAGGAGGATGTCCAGGGGCAAGAAAGAGCTGAGGCAGAAAGGGGATATTTGTCAGCATCCTCTTATCGGAAGCTATCCTTCCTTAACCTCTTTGGTTCATTTTAAAATTCATTTTTGAAAACTCATTACTGTTGAGCCTCTGGAGACGCTGTGATCATCCAAATGCAAGTTTCTAGACAAGGGCTCCCTGGACTAATCTGTGACTTGAGAAGTCTCCAATAACTACAAACATTTCATTTTTATATATCCCAGAAAAACAATCCCAGTGTGTATTTTATACATATACTTAGAGAGGTCATCCAGTCATTTACTGTGGTTACCTTTGTAGAATGGGACTGTAATAGTGGAAGGGGCTTCACTTACTTTTCCTTTTAGAAG